ATATATTTTTTTTTTTTTAATTTGGACACTTGCTTTTAGAGAGAATGGCCTAACCCCATGGCCTTCCCTCAATCCTGTGCCCCCAACCCCAAAGAAAGGGGATGGAGGGCTTCCAGGAAAGGGGTTGGGAAAACAAAAACAGAATTTATTTTATCTAAGCTCTGTAGCAGGATTCCTGTTCCTCTTTGGCAGTTTGTTCTCTTTCCTGTATATGCAATAACAAGGTTTAAAAAAAATAATAAAGAAGAAGTGAGACTATTAGACAAAGTATTTATGTAGTTGTTTGATAACTCTGTAAATACGTGGAATATGAATGCTCTGAAAATTAAACTTTAATTTATTGAAAATTGTACATAGCTCTGTGTAAATAGGATTGCAACTGTCCAGTTTTGTTCTTGTCTTCCTTGAGTCGGTTTTATTTCCAGGTCAAAGTGTTGCTGTTCACACTAGGAGACCCCCCACACCAATCCCTACACCCTTTCAAAAAGAGCAGTCTGCGCAATTATTTTCTTCTTTTTATTTTCCGTGTCTCAGAGTGCAGAGAAAGTGCTATTTCCTATTTTAGCCAAAACTGAGGAGGGGCTTGGCACGTCCCAGGTTCAGGATTAAATTCCTTAAAACCTAACACCCTGGCCAGGGTCCTGAGACGGCTGTGGAAGGGGAGGCGAGGAGGTCTGGTTTCCTAACTTTTCTCTCGTGTTTGTGTTTGCGAGTTTCTGATTACCTCAAAACAGAGTGGAGTTTACTGCTGTTGTCAACTTCACGGCGTTTTGAACTGGTGCCTAGAAAGCGAGAAATCCACAGTTCCAAAGTTAGGTGCTCAGAGCTGGTTTGGAAAGGCAAAAACCCGTGAAGGTATCTTTTGTGTTTTAGCTGTTGACGAGTTCTTTGCTTTTCTGTGTTCTCCCCACCCCCTCTTTAAAACATCACTGAAATTTCAATAAATTTTTATTGAAATAAAAAAATAAAGTAGGGGCTTATTCTTCACACATTACACGAAGTACGCAGGTCGGTTGCTGGATCGTTGCAGTGTCTCTCTGTGCCGAGAGGACAGCACGGAGAGCTCCCGTGTACCGTACACCCAGTCGCTCCTACTGGCATTTTGCATGGGTATAGTATCATTGGTGAGCCGATGTTGATAATTACCCTCAGCTAAAGCATATTTTATTCATGTTTCCTTTGTTCTTTCCTGGTATGCTTTTTTTTCCTGTTCCAGAATCCAACTGTTGGTCACCGAACCCAGGAGACCCAGGGGATATAGAAACGTGTTTAGCTGTGTCTCCTATAGATACCTGTCTTGGTCCTGCAGGCATTCTGGGGCCTTGCCCTAGGGTCAGGCCTGGCAAGCTGGGTAAAAGTTGGTTGTCACCCTTACTCTTCACCCTGCCCACTGTCCTCTTCTGTGACATGGACCCCACGCTGCTGTCAACAGCACACCGCACTCAGCACCCAGGGGGCAGGCTGCAGGGCCTTTCCCACTTTTGATCTGGTCAGATGCTCACGGGGCAGGACCTCTCCCCAGGAGCCTAAGGTCCCCTCCATGGGGTCTCCTTGTCCTCAGCCAGACAGGGTGGAACTCAGGGATGCAGCCTGCTCCCAGGGGCTCACGGGAGGTGGAGTGCCTTCTAGAAGTGAACGCCCAGTCCCCACCTCCCCCCCACCCACCGCACCCATCCCCCGACGTCCAGCTCAGCCTCCACTGAAGAGGTGACCTTTTTCTCCAGAAAGCTCAGCAGGGACTGGGGCAAGGGAGACCTGCTGCCCTTTGGTAGGAGTGACCCCTGCTTCACCACAATTCCGACTCAGGCCCCGGTGCTGCCCAGGCCTTTCCAACACCCCTTCTTAGACCTGGTCAGGCGTGGAAGATGCCGGTCCCTGTGGAAGTGGTAGCTGGACTTGGCCAGCAAGGATCGGCACGCAGGGATTGGAGCCAGCCCTTCCCCCAGGCAGCTGCCCCGGGTCACCTGCCTTCCTCTGCTCCCACCAGCACGTTCTAGACAGACGGCCGTCCCCAAGCCTGCAGGTCTAGTTTGCACTCTGGAACTCCCTGAAGGGTTGCTCCTTCTCCTCACATCCCTCCTCTGCCCTCCCCATTCCTAGTGATTTTCCCTCCTGGGTGAATGGAGACCTTGCCCATCAGGGAAACTGAGGCTGGAAAGGCCAAGGAATGCCCAGGGTTTGCCAGTCACTCGTGACATATGCGACAGCTAGGCTGTCACAAAGAGAGGCAGGAGTGGCTGACTGGAACCTGCAGGAGAGGCAGTGGAGCTCACCGTCAGCGCTGGCGCTTGGCCTCAGGGGCAGAGTGGGGCCTCTGGGAAGCCCTTGTTGAACTTGGCGCTGCTCCTGAGAAGCAGGACAATGGGCTAATTAATTAAAGCAGGCCTCTGCTGGCGCAGTGCTAATGAAGACGAAGAGGGAGAGGCGGCAGCTCTGAGCGCTCAGCAAGGACCTCTGGGCAGGTGGGACAGCCAGGAGAGCCCCTGCCACTGTCAGCCGCAGAGGGGCTGAGCGGTCAGTTGTTTCTTTTTAAATGACAGTTTATTTCTTGTCTTGAGTGGATGCTCTCTGCTGACACCCCAACTCCAGCTCCCCGATGCCCACAGATCCCCCTTCTTACATCCTCCAGAGGTATCGTGGGTGTTCTGGTGCCACCAGACTTGTCTTGAGGATGCTCTCTGTTGACACCCCAACTCCAGCTCCCCGATGCCCACAGATCCCCCTTCTTACATCCTCCAGAGGTATCGTGGGTGTTCTGGTGCCACCAGCCGGGTACTTGCAGTCCCCCCTCCCTGCCTCTCCCAGTTCCTCCACCTGCCACCAGAGGGAGCCCCGCCGGCTCGAGCCCCGCCCGCCCAGTGTGTGAACCTAGGAGGGTCTACATGGCGTTGTAAGTTACATTTACACCCTTTTGATTTTGAGTGAGGTTCAGCAGATTTGGATGGATTCATTTCATGTCTTTGCCCATTTTTCTCTTGGATTGTTGTTCTTTTTCTTACTGATTTCTCCATATCACCTAAAATGGCCCTTTGTGAAATGAATTGCCAATATTTTCATGCTTTATTGTTTATCTTTTTTATTGTGGTTTCCCCCCCATACATCTACTTTTTATTTTTATGAGGTGGAATGCATACAATCCTTCATTTTACAGATTCTAGGTTCTGTATAATTCTTAGAATGATTCAAGATTATGGATTTTTTTTTTAACCCTACGCTTTCTTCTAGTAGTTTTACGGTTTCATTTTTACTTCTTAAATCTTTGGTCTATTCAGAATTCATTTTAGTGTCAAGGAGTGAGGCAGAAATCTGAAAGTCTCCCTTAAATGTCAATTTAGTTGTCCTGAGACGCTGGGTTGATTGTATGTTTTGAATTATTTGCTGAATAATTCATCTTTTCTTCTTGCATGTGACCTGTTCCCTTCTCATATTTGTATTTGAGCCTCTTTCTGGACGCCCCCACCCCAACACCTGACTGTGCACAAACTGTGTTACTCATTGTGATCTTAAGAATATAATGTGTTTTAGGGTCCAACCCAACCAGTCCTCCTCCTTCTGATTGGCTTCCCCGTCGATGTTGGATTGCTTTGGACGCGTGCTCACGTTCATTAGAGAACAAGGAAGTACACCGGACAGGTCCCAACCTGGGCTCTCAGCCCAGTTCCATTGGACTGCTTGTGCCCTTGGGGCTGGCTTTCAGTGCTCCCTGGAGTGCTGGACTGTGGCTCTGCCTCCAGTCTTCTTAGGATAGCAGAGTCACCAAAGGGAGTGGCGTAGGCAGGTGACCTCTCTGAATGCTCTCTCTTACCTAGGGGAAGAGAGGTGGTTCTGGTAAAGCTTGAGGTTTTACAGGGCCAGGTGTGAGTCCCTTTCACACATGCACGTTCCTAGGCAGAGCTGATCCAACCCTGCAGGACTGGCTGGACAGGCCAAGTGACCAGAGCCCTAGGCAGCACCGGGCAGGTGTCCTGGAGGGGAGATAAGACCAGGAGAGATGGCTCTAACCCTTTTCATGAGCTGCCCAACGAAAGCAGGACTCTTGGCAGGTGAGAAGCAGCAGCCCGTGGGTCCTTAAGCCGAGCCTGTGGATGTTCAGTTTAGAACCTAGAGCCTTAGCATTGATCAAAGCCTCCCCAAAACCTGGCCCCCAGGAGGCTGTTTGAGAGTGGCAGCTAGGATCTCAGGACCCAGGACGTGACAGTTCATAGCTCTGTGCCCAGACCTTCCCTCATCCCTCTCAGCAATACCCAGGCTCAGTCCCTGCTCCAACAGTGGCCATACTCCTGGGAGAGATGTATATGGTGAGGGCAGTGGCTGGAAGGCTGGTGGTGTGGGGGCACCAGGCAGTGAGCAGGGTGGACAGGCAGATCCTGGACGTCCAGGCACCAGCTGGGAGAAGCACCTCTGAGACGGGCAGCAAACCTCAGCCAGCTTGGTCTGTCAGCAAGAATCCCAGCTAAAACTATTCCCGTGTCCAAGATCTACTGGCTGCTCCTGCAGCCCCCTCAGAGCCCCCTCTTTACACGGATGCTGCCTGTGTGCCCCTTGACTGCCCTTGCCGGAGACAGGAAATAGGGCCCACTGGATTTGAGAAAGTCCTAGCCCTGCTCCCTGTGAGCCCCAGCCCCAGCTGCAGCATCCAGATGTTGCCTGGGGGACTCACCATTCCCTCGGGGAGCCAGAAGAAGGGGCCAAGCCAGCCTTGGAGTCCAGACACCAGCACTTGTCCCAGCTGGTCGGAGCCTCTTGCCCTCTTCCTGCTTAGGCCCCCATCTTGGAAGTGGGCCATGGAGCTGGGGCAGGAGTTGGGGGCAACGTATAACGCACCCCCCCCAACTCTCCAGAGATGGGAGGTGTGAGGGCCAGGCAGGGTGCATGCCCAGCACAGCAGGGTCCAGGACAGTGCCCTGTGGAAGGAAGCCCTGTGGCAGTACAGAGGTCACAGACACTGGGAGATGGGCATGCCCAGAAGGACCCTTGGAGATGCCGCCAGGGGCCAGGCTGTTGGTCCCTTTCTTATGCAGCCCCATTTGCTGCCGTGTATGGCTTTGATGAATAAGACATGAGGAAGCTGATGAATTATGGCTTAATATGCACCAAAATTGGGCAGAGAGACCCATTGGGGTGGGATTCCCCACGGGTGCAATACTGTGGGCAGCAGAAGGCCAGGACACCCTCTGAGGTCCCAAGGTGTGAGGGGGGCTGGTGAGAGGCTCCTGGAGGAAGCAGAGGCTGGAGTTGGTCCAAAAGGCTCATCTATTTAAACTCCCCGGAGTTCCGTTTCCTGTCTGTAAAAGGGGTGGTGGTAGGGTATCTCCATCTCAGGACCAATGGGACCATGTGCTTAGCAGGCCTGGCACAGAATCCTCTCAGGCCTCGGGCACACAGCCGCCCTCCGTGGTGAGAGCAGATGGCGGGCTGCCACCCCCCAGCTCCCTGGCACCGAGACCACATTCCCAGCCACCCACTCAGGTCGGTCACACTGGCACAACTCAGGCAGCAGGTGCAGGTTTGCTGTGTGACCTTCCAGCTTCCTTCCTGATCTCTCCTTGCCCTGTCCCAGAGCAGCCCTGGCTGTACGCAGCAAATACCAAGTTCCCATGCTTCCTCGTCCCTCCCTAGGAGGGCACCAAAGGCCTGCAAGTCCATGGGTATCCCACAGGGATGCCTGAGCAAAGCCATGACGGGCTTGTCTCTCCAGGAGGAAAACAAGCTCCCAGAGTCCTTGAAAGCAGTGACCTCCTACCGAGACCGCACCATTGTCCCTGTCATCCCAGGCCGGCCATAGTGAAGGGTGCCATGCCCCGAGCTGGATTCTGAGTGGACCTGCAGGTCTGAGTCAAAGCTCTGCAATCCTTGCCAAGACTCCACGTGGTCCTTTCAGTGGACAGAACAGGCGGACAAAGAAGGGACAATAACCAGCTGGCCACACCCAGAAACATTAACGTCTACCTTTCCACATACTTTGTTGAGCTCAGAGAGGCCAAGGGGCTAGACCAAAGTCACACAGCCAACGAGGGTCCTTTCATGTCCATCACATTGGTCATGGAGCCAAGTCCCAGGTGAGGCAGCCCTGTGGCAATACCAGACCTCACCAAAGGAGGGTATCGAGTTGGCAAGCTGGCAAGAAGCCATGTCCTACGTGTGGTGGGACTGGGGGTAGGAAACAACTCAGGCAGACGCCAGTGCGGCCACACAGGCCCAGCCCAGGCCGGTCATGACAGGTCCCTTCAGCTCCAAGGGCAGAGCTGTCTGCAGGCTCCAGCCCAGGCCCTCCCCTGATCCCCAGGGCCACGTGTCCAGAAAGCTTGGAGGACTCAGGTCCACGCTGTCCAAATGGCTTGTCATCTCAGCACCCCTGCTGGGGCTCCCCAGGAACAGATCGGCATGGACTTCGTCAAAGGGACAGTGCGGGCCAGGCTCCCCCACGGGTCTCTGGCTCTAGAGGGGTCGCCTCTAGAGCTGGCTGTGTCCCTTATCCAGAGGTTCCGGCCCCTGTCAAGCCCCCCCCGACCCCTCACTGGCTGTCAGCTGTCCTCCCTCCCTTGTCCTTGGGCCCTGAGTGGTGACGGGCGTGTGGCTGCCCATGGGGGAGTGCTCCGTCCCTCCCACGCCTGCCCGGCACCTGCCCACACCCTGATAAATACGCCTCGCCGAGTCCTCCTACCTTGCCAGCCTGAGAAGTGAGCTGTGTCCTCTGAAGCAGCCTGACCAGCCGCCCGGCCCTGTTTAGCTCCTCCTCTGTCCCCTCCCATAAGCCTCTTTAGCAGCTCACACCCACACCTCAACCCACACCCAGGAGTCCTCCGCCCCACAGGCTCAGCCTCCAGCAAGGTGGGCACTGGCCAAGGTGCTGATGGGGGAGGTTTGCAGGAAACAGGCTGTCTTCGTGCCTGGGCCCTGTCTTACCACACAGACCTGCAGGCAGGTGGGGAGCCCAGGCCCCAGCCAGGCTTGGCGGCTAGAGAGAGCGCCCATGCCAGAAGCCTTCATAGCAGCATGGCTCACCGTCCCCTCCCGCGCCCCCAACTACTGCAGGATGGGTGAGAGCCTTAGAGATATGGAGGGCGGAGTCACAATTTTCAGCCATCGAGAAAGCCCTGAGTCCATGATCACTAAGGCTACGCATGAGCCGTCAGCACAGAAATACTCTTCTACAAGGACAGACGTGCTGTCTTCAGATGGTCAGCCAGAGTCATATGATTGGTCTGTCTTCTGGTCTGAGGTGGCCCTTCAAGGAGGTTTGGTTCCTGTTCTGACTGGTGCTGTGTACAGGGCCCTGGAAGAAGGGCACTGGCCTAGAGGACAGGCCACGGCCCCTTGCTGCCTCTAGGAGCTTGACCTGGGGTTCACCATCTGCATAATGGGCGACAAAGCACCCATGTGGCAGGGAGAGCATTCACTGAGCCTCCACAGGGGCCAGTCTGTGGCACTCAGTGAGCAGCTGGCTGTCAGTGTCCACCCTGCCCTTCGGGGGACCAGGGACAGGGACACCTCACCTCCTCAGTGACCTGGAAATCCAAGGCTGAGCCAAGGGACACAGAGACGCAGCAGGCAGAGACGTGGTCAGGGCCACAGAGACGCAGCCAGGACAAGTCCGAGCAGTGCGGGCTCCACGTTGGGCCAGACGGCCAGCCCATCACGGGCACTGCCTCTGGTCCCCACCCCATACCTGATGTCTTGGCCCTGCATAGGAACCCTGGTGAGGTAGGAAGGTCATGAGCTCTGTGCTCTGTTTCTGTCCCCTAAGGCCACTGCTGAGGTCATGGGGCTCAGTCTGCGGGGAGGTAAAGTGTACTGGGCTGTCCAGTCACCAGATCAGGGCGATGCTGGCAGGGCTCCCACGGGGACAGCTAAGACTTCAGCCAGGGTTCTTCTGCTGTGGGGAGGGGCCCAGGCCCTGGCCGGGCACAGAGTTCAGCAGACGGGCTCAGCCGGCTTCCCCTCCCCATAAACTCTCTCCGAAAGGTCGGCTCCGAGGGGCCCCAGCCCGCTAGACTGGGAAGACCCAAGCCTGGCCCACCTGGCTTCCAGGGCTCCTCCAGGTGCAAGGGGACACTGTCACCTGAAGACCCCAGGAGTCATCTCCGTGCCGGGGAGATGGCCCAAGCAGAAGCAGGCGTGCCACTTCCGCCTGTATGTGGGCAAGGGTATGTCATTAGGTCTGGCGCCACAGCCGGGGCCAGTTTAGCGGGGGAGGGGGTGAGCAGGTGAACTCCGGGATCTTCAGAGTTTGGAGCCCCGGTCCCAAAGAGGGAAGAAGGGGGGGCACCTGCAGAGACGGAGGCAGGACTAGGCTTAGGTCCTTTCTCTGCGAGGGTGCAGAGGGCGCCGCAGACTCAAATGGGGTCTCCTGAACCCTCCTAAGCTTTGTTTCCGTTTCTTACTGCATCACGGGGCAACCCTCCCGCGGAGGGGTTCCGGGAGCAGGGGTCCAGGATCTCGCCGGGCGAGGCAGAGAGCCGGCCACGCAGCACGGCCTTCCCATCCCCAGGACTCGAAACAAAGGTCTCGTCCGCGTGGGGACCCGGCCAACTGGGCGGCCACGCCCTCGAGCCCGCGCCCACGGCCAGTTGCGGGC